GTCAAGAAAAAGGATATAGTAATGCCATAATTGTTTTTTAAAAGTAGCATAATTAGAGTATAATAACAAAATTGATTCAAGAGAAGTAGAACTTTCTTAAATTGTAAAAAAAATAGTTGTTTTGGGGTTGGGGCTAATAGTTCAATTTATGTGTTTAAGAAGTTGTATAATTTTGAAATTAGTAGTATGTCTGTTAGACCTATTAATAATGGGTTAGGATAGGATAGAATGCTAGTAAAAGACTAAAAATTATACTGGAGTTGTTGGACTTGAATTTGAGTAGATATACCAAGAAGAAGTTTACTATTAAGATGTTTGATAAAGTTAAAAATATGGTATTGAAGTTAAATATTCCTGATATTTTTGATATTGTAAATCTGTAGGTGAAGCAAGATACTAGTAGGGATAGTGTGGCAAAGTTTAGCTTTGTGTTTGACTAAGTTAATATGTTGTTTAAAAATCTTGTTATATATAGATTAACTAAGAACAAGGTTATAAATTCTATATTCTAAAGTAAGAATTATAATAGTGTTAATGATATATTTAGCCTGTGTTTTAGTTATTTGTTTGGTGCTAGCAATTTTAATTAGCTAAAAGAATTCAGAAGAGATAAGTTAGATTTGTTTAGTGTGTTTGTTATAAAGAATAATCTAGCAGCCAAGAAACTTAAATAGCTAATTGGCAGGCCAAAGTAGAAGTATTTTATTGTTAAAAGAGATTGGGTGATAAATATTTAGGTTTGAATTAGATATTAGTATAGATTTGGTTAGATTAACTCTAATATTAGCCATATTGTAAAAAAATTTGACAACTAAAGAATATTGAAAAGTTTAGTTTGGCTAGATGCAATTTACAAAGTATTATCCATGTAAGCTAACACAGAGCTATTAGCATCAAGTTTTTGAGTAAAGAAGTTTTTTAGATTAGTAAGCTATAAGACAGAAGTTGAATAAACAGGAGAGTTTGAGTATATATAGGTAATGAGAGGGTTATAGTATATTCACCAAAGCAAGGGGGTGATAGTCTCTCCTTGGTCAATACTATTTTGAACTTGGTATGTATTTGTTAAACCAAAGTTAGTTATAACCTTATTTTGGCGATTAGCAAATAAATCTAAGAGGATATTTATGATAGGCTGAGAAAGAAAGAGGTAATAAAAGAAGTATTTGAAGAAGTCAAAGTTAACAGAATTATAGGCTTTACTTATATTTTAAAATAGAAGCCAGATCTTTTTATAATTGCAATTAGCATCTTTGATGAAGTTGTTAAAGATATGAATAGAAAAAGATAAACTGTTATCTAGTAAGACAATATAGTTAAAAAGCAAAAAGATAGGGTGTTGAGAAAAAATATAGTTGAGTCTATTAGTAAGAATTTTGATATAAATTTTTCTACTATATTTAATTAAGCTAATTGGATAAATAAGATTGAGATTTCTATCAAATATATTGTTTTTTAAGATAGGATGAATTTTGCTATGTTTTTATAGCTTGGGTATAAAATTTTCAAAAAGACAATAATTAAAAAGTAGAATAAGTAAAGAAATGTAATAATGGCTAAGGTGTTTGAATATCTTATAACTAATACCAGAAGGTTTGCAAGACTTGCTATTAAAAAGTTTAGAGATTGTTTAAAGAACTTTATCTTTAGTAATAGAATAAGTAAGTAGGCTATACTAGTTAGTATTGATGTGAATAAGTGGTTAGTATTGTTGCTGTTAGAAGTTGTTAAAAAGGATTGAGTTAATAGATTTGTAGGCAGTTTAATTATCAAAGTGAGTTTGTATATGTTGCTTGATTAGAGTCAGATTAGTTATAAGTTAGTTAGGGAGTTTAATATTAGTAAAGTATACAGAGAGTTAAATATACTGTTGATAGCTTGTATAGGCTTGAAAACAAGAGTTTTATATTTTTTTTTGAATGCCTAATTGATTTGATGATGAAGATGAAAAGAGTGTTCAAGGTGGTAGGCATAATAAACTTGTTTTTATATGAAGTAAGTGTGTTGTAACCAAGATTGAACAGTAGGAGAGTCAAAAGAATCTAGTGAAGAAAGATTGCAATTAGAATATATATTGATGATTAGAATATAAAAGTTGATATGTAGAAGGTACAGGTTGGAGTAATTATAATTGTTTTGTTTATAAAAAATTTTGATAAGGTAACTAAGTTTTTTAAGACCAAGATAAAGTGCAGTGTATTGGAAGCTATATTAATAGTTGTAGCTATGTTTATAAAATATTTTATTAGAAATAGTTCTAATTGCAGCTTGTATGATACTGTGTTGTAATTGTGCCAAATAGTGTTAATGCTATCAGAAAAATTAGAAGTAAGAGAAATGTAACTTTGGTTGATTAATTGTATAGTTAGCTTAGAAAATTCAAGCCACTGCTTGTTGGAAGTAGCTTTATAATTAAAGATTTTGTGGCTAATATTTATATAGATATGAGAAGGTTTACTATAGGTATTAGAAAAAGTCCAAGAGGTTAAGAGGATAAGGTAGTTACTAAAAGTGCTAGTTTTACTATTGTCAAAATTATAATCAAGAAGAAATTGTAGATTAAAAGTATTTGTCTAGATGTAATCAATTCTGCTTGATTATATACTATTAGACCAAGTAGAGTGTGTATTATGAAGATATACTTTAATATCAAATATATTAGAGTGGTATAGAAAGTTGATAAATTTGAATTTAGATGAGAAGCTAAAGGTAGTATTCTGGGTATTAAAGTTATCTAGAATAATAGATTGGAGGTTGGGGTAGCTGATATTTTTGAGAACTATCCATGGTCTAGTTATCTAGATTTTTAACGTTCTATCCTTAGATCTTAGATAAATATAGAAGATACATGTTATATTTTTGTTTTTATAAAAGTGAGGGTATATAGTTAAAAATTTGTATTTATGTAAGTGTTTGTGTAATTGTTTGTATAGTTTTTAAAGTAGTGTATATATTTTGCTATATATAGTAGTTAAGATATTAAGTATTTAGTCCTACTCTAGATACAAATATTTTTGCTCTTATATGGGAACCATATTCAGAACTTCTCAAGCAGGTTTCTACCATCTAATTATCCCCTAAAATTCTATGATCTGTTGGGCTTATTATGAATTTGTACTATATTTAACTAGCTAGCATTTCTTTGTACTTTCTAATTAGATTGTACAAATACCTCAAATCTTTCAGAACTTAAACTTCTCAATTAGGTTAATTGATCTCTAATACACCATTGGGCTACAAGTAATTTTACCTAATGCAGATGAAGTAACTATAATACAGGATTAAATTTGAAAATCATTATTTGTAGGATTTAAACTTACAATCTGCTACTTGGAGGAATGACAACTAGACCACTTCACTAAGCTGCCACACTCTTATTAACCAAATTGTAAAGAATAAAGAATAAAATAAAAAGTAATAATTTACTTTTAAATAATAATATTGTTTTTTTAAATATTAGATTTCTGCCAGGAGACACCAAATATTATTACTACTTTGAATTTAAACTCAATACAAAGTGCAAGCAAAAAAAAGTAATAACTTGACAGTTTAATAACAACAAATATTTAATATTTAAAAGAGTTTAAACAGATTATACAAGATAACAAAACTTTGAAATCTTAGTATGTAATAGACTAATAATTGTTGTGTCTTATTGAAGTTCATAAAGAACAAGAAACACAGATGATTTAGCAATAGCATACTATTGTAGCCTTATAACAAAAGACAAAAAGATAAAATAATAAAAGAAATAATATTTTATTATTTATAAGTAAACTTTTATAATAAGAAAAATTAAAATTTTGAGAAAGAAGGAAAGAGGTCTATTTATAATATTTTGAATGCATGTAGATGATCATCAAATATCCAAATACTATGTAATATACTAGTATTGTTACATGAATTATTTAATAAATAACTACAGTTATACTAATTAGTAAATCTATAGCTATTTATCAAAAATCGTTAATATTTTAAAATTTTACTAAGTAAACATATTAATATTTATTAACAAAAAGTGTTCTATATATTAAAATAGAGGAGTTTACTATAATGACTTTATGAATTTTTTCATTAAAATTCTGCTAAAATCTGGTTTAAAGTTATATAAATATAAGTTACTATACAAATACTGTAATAAATAGATTATATATATTTTTATAATATTTGAGATAGTACATGATGATAGAAAGTTAATATAATAATAATATAGTATTAAACTAATAGAATATATTATAGTTAATAATAAATAAAAAAGAAAATAATAGAAAAAATTATCAAAGAGCTCAAAAATTTGAGAGAGTTATACTAGTAAGATAATATATATGGATTTTGTAAGTTTACAAAATGTTTATTATAAACTACAAGCTAATAATGGTTTAGTGACAGTTTTGATAAAATGATCATGATTTAAATACTACCATCTATCAAATATCTGCATTATGTACAAGTGAGTTTTACGAATATTTTTTGCTAATAGGCTTTAATATAATATGTCTATTAGACAAAAATAGAAATTAAGCTCGTTACATACTATATTTAAATCAAAATTAAACAAAATTTTTATATCTCTAAAACAATATTTACTATGTTCTTGTATGCAACAAGGCAAAAATTATGTAGGATTAGTTTTCTTATATATTCAAATATAAATTGAAATGTATTGATAATCAGATGTATAAATACTAGATATATTATCTTTTTTTTTAAAAAAAAAAACACTTACTATAAATTTATGAAATGTGTATTTTGACATTAGTTCTGTCAAAAATTGGTCTACTTTATAGTTTTATAAATATTAGATTGAGACTCACAAAAATGATTCTAAAAAATTAACTTATAGCAAGGCTATAAACATGTTTTTTAAAAGTCTACATGCAATAATTAACTGAAGCTTAGACTTTTTAAAACTCTGGAAAGCTAATAAACTTTTAGTCAGTTGTTAGGCAAGTACTATATTTCTGTAGCGAATACCCTTTACAGTAAACTTTTAGTTGACCATGGCTGTTCACAGCAAGGAAGATATGATTTTTAGTTATCTTTCTGATGATCTTTTAGATCATTGTAGTGTTGATATTTATAATAAAGAAGACACAACTTTTAGTTATTTTTCTGATAATCTTTTAGATCATTTTGGTTAATATATTAATAGTATTTTTTTTAGTAGTATGCTAAAAGCATTTTAAATAATCATATTTTATTTTTTTGTATCAAGAACCAAAATTAATGCAAGTCAAGAAGCAATATAAATTGTTTATAAGATAAAACTCTTAAAGAAAAAAATATTAATATAGAAACAAATTATGTATAACTTGTTTTTTGTAAAAATGTAAGAATTGAAAATATTGAAGACAAACAATCATTCAAGATACAGATAAAAAAAGGATCTAGTTAGTTAAAATAACAATTAGATATATATAGTATAGTTTAATTTTTTATAGTGCTTTATTATTATTTTGTTTTTATTAAATATTACATCAAATAGGTTTTAGAAACTGAAGATAAGGAGAATCTAGCTAGTAATTTGTATAAATGTCAACATACAGAAGGTGAAAATATAGAACATTGGGATAGCAAAAACTTTTTTAATATTGTAAAATATAATAATAATAGGAATGAAATAGAAAAACAAGTTAAGCTAATAGTCTAATATGATAAAAAGATATGGTTTGTGAACAAAATTAATATATATGATATATTACTAAAATAGTAGAAACAAATAGGCCGATTATACACCAAGTAACTATTTTTTAATAATATTTTAAAATGCAATATACTGAAAATATTTGATATATTGATGATAGAAAATATTAGCCTAGCTTATTATAATATTATAAATATTACTTTTAGTACAAATAGTGACTTTATACAATTCTTGCCTAACGATACAGTGTATAAAATTATGCAGTTTGGATTAACAGAACAGCAATTTGTTACAGAAAATATGAAAAAGCTAATTATTAAATTTATTAAAATGTTTTTTTTTTGTTTTACTATATATATAATCAAATCAGTTGGTGTTTGCAACTACAGCATAATTATTAGATTTTTTTTTAAAATCTCTAATTTGCTCATATAGACAAATGATTTTTGCAAGACTGTTAATAAGAGCTATAATGAAACAAGACAAAATGATACTTTGAAATTCGTATTGAACTTTGTAAGTCTTTTGTAAAAACAATAGGTTAATTTGGTATTTGTTATTTCTTAAGTTTTATATTCAAGTTCTTTTTCATAGTGTGAATTCATTTGAAAGAGAAAATAACCTTGCAAATTTTGATTTGTCTGAATTAGCATACTGAGAAATTTTTCTAGCATCTGCTATTCGTAGTTTGTTCTATAGAATACATCAAAAGATGTATATTTTTTTGTTAATATATCTTATAAGTTTGTTTAATCTTGATATTTTTAATGAAAGTTATGACATATATCTATGTAGTAGTGAAAAATATTTATTTGTATTGTTTAAAGAGTTTAATTTTAAAAAAACTGATAAAGAATCTTGTAATGTTAGAAATAAGGTCAATATTATTTGGTTTTTAAAATCAACAAATCTTGAGTTTAGTATTGATGAAGTTAGTGGTCTGCCAAACAAGCATGATCATTTCCATTTTTTTGGTGATAAATTAAAGATTGCCAAAATGCTAAAGATCATAATTAATAGAATCATATATAAACACAGTAGTGCAGTTGCAAAATTAGGCTCATTAAAATTATATGAGTTACAAATATATAGTAAGTATTAATAAATTTGAAAATAATTGTATAAGAGTTATTAAAATTCTTTACTTATATTAGATAATGAAGCAATTGTTTATAAGTTGTTGGTCTCTTTTTGAGAGTTGTTTATTTTTTATAAGATTATAGTCAAAATTGCCAACTAATAAAGTTGAAGTAGCATTAATATCATATACTATACCAACATTGCTTAAGTTTAGGGGTTTTTTTTTTCTTTGTTCTATACTAACTTTTTTTTATTTACCAAAATTTTATTACTAGAAGTTGCTTATACTGAGTTTAAAAGGTCTAAAAGATTATATTGTAGATAGAACCCAAACTATATATAAATAGATAACAATTTGCTTTTGCTTATTTTTAACTATTTTTGTATAAATCTTTTTTATACTTAGTAATATTAATACTTAGATTATATAAACTTAATAATTTGGTTTTCATAACATAAAATTTTTAAAAGTGACCTGGCAACTCAGCTTTTAATTTTATTTTGAAAAAATTTTATATATAAAAAACATATAAAATTTTTTATAGATTTTTTTAAAAAACTCA